TAAGCCAAAATGATGTGAAGCAAAATTCAATTACCATTCATTCATATGGAAATTTTTTGAGTATTTGCAGACCCCCAAAAGAACCTAAGGCTTTCTGATACCTTAGGGCGCATCTTCTTAACGGATGCACAAAATAAATGCAGGTGAAGCACAGCTGTTCACAGACACAGCTCAAAGCTAGGGCAGCCTGATGCTGATGCAGAGCCAAGGGAAGGGGCCTTGCGGTGCCACTCTCCCTGCTGTAGCTGTGGGCTCACTGCAGAAAAAAACCGGCTGAACTCTATTTTCATTTTCTGCCTTTTTTAAAAAAAAAATAAAGGCGAAATTCTCTTCATAATTCTTGCAGTTAGCCAAAACAGGTCCTAATATAGGCCTTTCATAGAAGTAAAATGGCAAAGCAGAATTTACAAAACGCAAGGGATACTAGTCCTGACCTCCATCACATCCTAGCTGTGTAACCTTGGGCGAATAACTTCATCTTTCTGATGTTTTCTTACCTGTAAAATAGGGCTGAAAACCTACCTTTCTTATTAAGTTCACGTGAGGCTCAAATGAAATTACATATACAAAATGCTTTGCACAACACATAAATAGGAAATACGCAATAAATGTCAATTGTAGTTATGACCATGACTACTAGTCCCATTGGTAAAGAAGAGGAGATGGAGTATGTATTACGCGTCTTGTTGCCTAGGCTGGGCCCACAGAGCCAGAGAAGAGGGGACCCCCTACTTGCAGTTCATTCATGCAACCAGCACATACATACCAAGAGCCTACTGTGTACCACGCCTGGCGCTGGCGGTACAGCTCAGGCCATCCCCTCCAGACTTTGGGGAGTGGGTAGCAGCTGCACCCCCAGCCCTCCTACGTCCCCATCGTTCGCCCTGAGCGTTAGCGTCGGTGGCCCCCAGCAGCAGAAGCGCAGGCGCAACCCCGCCACCCACCAGTCCACGCTGCTCACCCAGATTCTGCCCACGCAGCACGGCGTATGGCCGGCTTCGCTCCGGAGGCTCCGCCGGGCTCGGGGCCTCCGCCTGGTCCTCTAGGAGGCTGCACAGCACCAGGAACAGCCACCAACACACCAGACGCTGCATCCTCCCTGGCGCCAAGGGACAGAGCGAGCCAGCTTCCGCCGGAAGCCCCGCCCCTTCCCTGCAGCGCACCGCCTTCCGTCGCAGCCTCCGCCCGCCGGGCGCGCGTCGTTGCCAGGGTAACCGCACGCCCACGCCAGAAGGTCTCTCAAGAGCTCAGAATTCTTTTGAGAATTACCGTTCCTCCTAGACCAATGTTTCCACCCTGGCCAGTTTTCAGCTGGCTCGCCGTTTTGCCTGATGCGAGACCCACCTCGATTACCCTTCCGCTGTGACCAAAATTCCCCCTTCTTCTGAGCTTCTGGAGGGCCTCTTTCCGTGAGGTCACTTAGGTCCGTTTCGGAACCTACCCAAGGGTTTATATGAAAACGCGCATTTTCTTATTAAATCTTCTCGACAGGCTTAAGAAATATATTCTCATTTTACAAATGCCGCCTTCTCAAGGAGGCCTTTTCTGGACACCCTTCTCTAAAATCTCAACACTTCCTCTCCCTTGAAATACACGAAATACTCCCTTCCCTTGTTCCCTGTTATCCCCCATCCCTAACTTGTGACCTTTACCTCATACATTTAACGTACATTTTGTTACTCTCTGAGTACCTGCTATCCTCCCTAGAATGTAACGTCCACAAGGGCAGTGATATCATTCCTCACTGCTTGCTAGACAGACAACACGGCCTTGAGAGCACAATCTGAATCTCACTCATTTTTGTACCCTTCTTTCCCCAGTTTCTAGCGAGATGTCTGCTTTGCACACAGTAGGTGCTCAGCAAGTGCTTGTATAATTAATACTTGCATGACCATAGACTAGTACTTATCTATTCATATCCAAGTCCCTGTATCTCAGGTAATATATCTGTAGTCTTTCCTGTAAAAACATAAACAAGAGCAAAAATAGCAAATTTGTGGGAGGTGTCAATCAACTAGCTAGTATCATGGTAAAAATATACATAATTTTTACCATTCAAAAATGTACAAATACATCAATAATGTTGTGTAACCATAAGCAGCATCTATATCCAAAACTTTTCCATCATCCCCAACAAAAATGCCCTTCCCATTAAACTATAACTCTCTCCATCGCCTTTCCTGGTCACTGGGAACCTTTATTCTACTTTCTGTCTCTATGAATTAACTATTCTAGGTACCCCTTGAAATGGAATTATGTAATATTTGTCTTTCTGTGTCTGGATTATTTCTCTGAGCTTAATGTTTTCAAGGTCCATTAATATTTTCATGTATTTCAAAACTTAATTCCCTTTTGTGGCTGAATAACACTCCATTGTATGTATATGCCTATGTTTTTTATCCATTCATTTGTTGATGGACTCTTGGGTTGTTTCAACCTTTTGGCTATTGGAAATAATGCTGCTCTTGTTACGGAAAATACTGGAAACCTGGACTGGATCACTGACGGAAGAACCAAATGGCACTCGGTGGTCTTAGAGTGTTGAGGTTTTATTCTTACACCGGCGGGGGCTCAGAGGGGAGTAATCTCCCAAGGTCTGAGCCCCGAACCTTTGGGAGCAATATATATCTTTCTGCTTCCGTATCTGCAACATTCTTATGTGCATAGCAAGCGAGGAAGCAAGGGGGAGTGAGTTTAGGGAGTGGGCTTACAGAGTGGGTGCCAGCAGAGTGAGGAATTAAGGGAGTGTTAAGTTGTATTTGCTAAGGAGAGGCAAAAGGGAGCCACCTGGACTAGACTGCTGTCCTTGTAAATTTTTCCCTATCACTCTGAACATTGTTGTGCAAATACATACTTGAGCTCCCTACTTTCTATTCTTTTGGATAAACACCTAGGAGTGGAATTCCTGGGTCATATGATTATTCTGTTTAGCCTTTTGAGAAATGGCCACATTGTTTTCCACAGAAGCTGCACCATTTTACATTCATGAGAAATGCAGGAGGGTTCCAATTTCTCCATATACTTATTAATATTTCCTATTTTGTTTTTAAAAAATATACAGTCATCATAGTAGGTATAGCTTTGTACCAGGAAGCACTGGTTTTAACTTAAGAAAAAAGTGGTTTGTTTCTTCAGATGGCCAACAGGCACATGAAAAGATGCTCCATATCACTAATCATCGGAGAAATGCAAATTGAAACCACACTGAGATATTACCTCACACCAGTTAGGATGGCCAACATCCAAAAGACAAACAGCAACAAATGTTTGTAGTAGGTACAAAGTGGTCAATACATGGCGGACAATGAATTCACGTAGAGTCAAGATAACCCAAAAGTGACCCTGGATGACAAGCTGGTAGAGATGCAGATGTACCCATGCGGTATAAGGGAAAGGAAGGGCTTCCATGGAAGGAACAAGAGGCAGTTACAGTGCAGTTGGGCAAGCTTTCATCGCCAGGGTTCCTCCCAAAGCTGTGCACACCCGTGTGTATGTATGTATGTGCGTGTGTATATACGTGTGTTTTAGGGATCCTCCCAAAAGGTCGGTTTCAAGCCCCACAAAAACTAGGTTCTAGTTTCGGTTTCTCCCGATACCTGAAAGTAGAGTGTATGTATGAAACCTTTTCTAAGCCAAAATGATGTGAAGCAAAGATTTAATTACCATTCATTCATATGGAAATTTTTTGAGCATTTGCAGACCCCCAAAAGAACCTAAGGCTTTTCTGATACCTTAGGGCGCATCTTCTTAACGGATGCACAAAATAAATGCAGGTGAAGCACAGATGCTCACAGACACAGCTCAAAGCTAGGGCAGCCTGATGCTGATGCAGAGCCAAGAGAAGGGGCCTTGCGGTGCCACTCTCCCTGCTCTGGCTGTGGGCTCAGTTTCCAGTTTGAGCCCCAGGGGTCACGTGACGATCTATGTGAAAATGTGTAAAGCGCAGCCGTCAAGGAGGCTGGGGGTGGCGGCGGTCGCACCGCACCTGAAGCGGCAGCCTGGCCATTGGCCCGGGCACTCTCCTGTCCTCTCTGAAAGGCTGACGGAGGCCGGGGGCACATGGCCAGTGCACACATGCACATGCCATCGTGCGGCGAGTTGTAGGTAGATACTGTCTGTGTGTCTCTGGCCAGGTTACCGTCCACAGCACTGTCAAACCTGCCCCCGTGAAACCCAGAGCCCTTCTGTGCATATAAGCTGTGCTCAGAAATAAAACGGTATCACTTGTCTGCCACCGGTGGTCAGTGAGCGGCCATCCTAACTTTGGCTTCTGTGTCTTTCTTGTATCTCTCTCTGTGTTTTTCTTTAATCTCCCATCCACCCCTCTCAGGTTCAGCTGGATTATTGCCTAGATGGCCTCTGCAACAATGTACACATTTAATCTTGCGGTTTGGGGGCTATTCAAAATATTTCATTTAGAAAAGCATTAAGTGTAAATTTTTCACTTAACTCAGCCTCAAAGAAATACAGTGGTGAAAAATACAGTGATTTTCCCTCTTCATTGTTTAGTGAACAGTCACCTTTTCACACACAAAATGACCAAGCAATTGCTCAGTAAACTCACAAAGATTAAGAGATCTAAGTACATAGTCTTGGCTCACACAGAGAAAAAGTAGGTAGGATACATGTATGATGAGAGGAAAAACATATATTTTGATGAATATATGCTTTAGAGAAATATGACTTTCTAAACTGAATTTCTATTAATGCTCTTTATTTAATCTGGAACTGACTTTAAATCATTCTAGAAATGTCTGGTGACTCAGGATGCTAGAAATGGTTAGGGATGGTATTTCACAGAAAAAATGGGACCCCTAATTATTCTCAAAATGCTTTGTCTTTCCCACTTACCCCTGAAATTTTGGTTATTGACTGTATCTGGGGGGCTGGTCATTTCCCCTTATGTAATGTGTTTAAGAAATGGAGAATAATGTGTGAGACTAGGGTTCAGTTCTTGAAACAGAACTTTCTTTTAAGTGCCACACTTGTCCACTGAATACACACTTGTCTTGACAGAGGTAGTGGGACCTGAGGTGGGTGGGGCTGCATCCACTCTCAGGCTTCTATGATGCGCTGTGGCCACGGTAACGCAGTGATGCCCACCTTGGGTTCTGTTTCATTGGCCACACTGTGAGCTGAGTGGCTCACTCTGGTGAGAGGTGAGAAACTCTCAGCTTCATACCTAGAGCTTTTTGAGATGGGAAACCTCAATTGTTGTACAGGTATGTTCACAAAGATGTTCTCAGAATACTGTTGCTACTAATGGACTTGTCAGCTTTTTCTCAAAGTACTTTTCCCATCTTTTAAAATGTCCTTTCTCTAATTTTGTCTGTATACAGAGTTATAAATATGCTGTATAGTTTTGTTTATTTCTCAATTTCTATTTTTGGTTATTCTATCAAATTGGTTGCCTTATCTTTTCTCCATTTAGAAAAATGTACCATTTCCTCTTATACTCTGCACCTCTCACTTCCCAGCTCTGGGGAAAATATGGCACTTTTTTTTGCCTCATCAATTAAAATTAGCTTCAGAAATTTAGAAGGGTTGAGATGAGCCCGGAGGCACTTCCCACAAGGAAGGGAATCTATCACCATCTCAAACCTTCCCTGCGCTCCTGACACTGAATGTGTGTTGAGGTCCGCACACGGTCGGTCCTGTTACTCCTGTAAATATATAGTTGACCCCTGGACAACGCAGGGCTGGGGGCGCTGACCCCCACCCAGTGCAGCTGAAACTCGAATACCTTTTTTTTTAAATTGAAGTATGGATGATATACAATCTGGTATTAGTTTCAAATGTACAACACAGTGGTTCATATTATTAAATTCTGACCCCAACTAGTGCAGTTACTGTCTGGCAACATAGAAAGACGTGAGAGAATCATTGGCTATATTCTCCATGCTGGGTTACCATTCCCATGAGCAACTAGTATTATGACTGAGAACTTTTGTGCCCCTTTATCCCCTTCCTGCTTGCCACCCACTAATCCCAACCCCTCTCCCAAGGTAACCACCATTCACTGATCAGTGTCTATGAGTCTACTGCTATTTTGTTCACTTTCTTTCGTCTTTAGATTCCACAAATAAGTGAAATCATATGGTACTTGTCTTTCTCTGCCTGGATTATTTGACTTAGCATAATACCCTCTAGGCCCATCCATGTTGTCACAAATAGCAGGCTTTCCTTCTTTCTGTGGCTGAGTAATATTCCATTGTGTATATGTATCACCACTTCTTTATCCATGTATTTATTGATGGACACTGGTTGCTTCCGTATCTTGGCTATTGTAAATAATGCAGCAATAAACATAGGGATGCATACACCTTTACAAATCAGGGATTTTATTATCCTCAGGTAAATTTCTAGAAGTGGAATTACTGGGTTGTATATTTCTATTTCAATTGAGGAACCTCCACCCTGCTTTCCATTGGGGCGGCACCGATTTATATTCCCACCGAGAGTGTAGGAGGGTTCCCATTTCTCCACATCCTTGCCAGCACTTGTTATTCCATTCGAATCTTCCCCCATCCAGTGCACCACCCCAGGGTCAGCCACCTTCTGTTGCCCCGAGGGCCCCCACGCTCCCCTCCACACCCAGGGCCCAACCCTGCACCCTCTCCAGGGTCTCTCATCCTCTGAGCTCACGGATCTGCTGCCTTTAGCCTGAGCTTCACCACATCCACCCCTGGGGGCCTCAACACCCCGGCTGACAGCCCCACAAGTGCAGGATTCACACCCACTCAGCACAAATTTGGGGGGGCCCTGCTGCACCCATGTTCGTTACAAAAAGACCTAAGCCCTCTTGTCCCCAATGAACCCTGTCCCCTGGCTCCTCACGCCTGGGGTCTTGCTAGACATGCAGCCCCTGAAGAGTGGGACATCTCTGGGTCCTCTCCCGCAGGTGGGCTCAGCCAAGGGGACACTCCCCAGCTTTGGTTGAAAGCCTGGGGCAGCGGGGCCCCCTCAAAATGTGGGCTGTGATGGCCCACACCATGCGCTAAACTGACCCTGTCCACGTGTTCACTCATTTGAGCCCTTACACACCCCAGGTCACCCAAGTGTCCCAGGTAAAGGTGTGGCTCTGAATACCTGGTGGGCAGTAATGGGGGGCCTCTGCCTCGGTATTGGGGAAGGGTGCTGGCAGAAACAGAAGTGCTGTCAGGAGGACCTGCTGCTCCCGGAGTAAACCCCTCCCCTGCCTGACAATCGGTGCCTTCCAGAAGCAGGGGGAGCCTGGCGGGGGCACTGCTGCTGGGAGGGGAGCTCAGCTCTGCAGGGCCGCTGCCCACCGGTGTCCCCTCTCGGGGCCTCCCACGGGGTAGCTTGGCCCGTTAATGCACCACCACCCCTCGCTCTCGCCCACAGCCCCTGTTGGGAAAGGCACATCCCTAAATCTAGGCAAGCCAGCACCCTGAAAATCAGCAACAGGTTACCCATCATGGCTCACAAGCTTCCCATTCTCCGCGCAACAAATTGGCGCTCTGGCCCAATAGGCGTCCTTTTGTGGGGTCTGGCCTTGGTCCTCCAGGGGGGCCAGGCTCATACCTGGGCAGACACACAAGGACACATGTTCAGCCCTTGGGGAGCTGTCCCATGGAAACATGCAGGTCATGGAGGCGGTTTGGGGAGCTTGAGAAGCCAATGGGGATGGCGGTCGCCTCATGGCCTGCTCGTGTTTTGGGGTGTGACCTTGAGGCAGGTGAATTTTCAGGGGCTGCTATTCTGCTCTTAGCCTGAGGCCTGGGAATGATGGGGACCCAGCCTTCTGAGTTGGGGGGCGGGGGGATATGTTGTCAGAGGAGGACCCCAAGGGAGGGGAGGCAAGTGCGCACCCAGGTCCCACGGTCCTAAGGCTGCAGGGAACTTGTGTCAAGACCCTCGGGGAGACCTGTGCACTGCTGGACAGCCGCCCCGAGGTCAACTGCCCTGCTCAATGTGGCAGGAAGAGGTTGTGTGCACAAGCTGTGCTCAGAAACAAAACCGCGTCACTGGCCTGCCAACAGTGATCAGTGAATATCCTGATCCCAGCTTTGGTTTCTGTGTCTTTTTGTATCTCTCTCTGTGTTTTTCTTGAATCTTCCATCCACCCCTCTCAGGTTCAGCTGGATTATTGCAGAGATGGCCTCTGCAACCATGCACACATTTAATCCTACGGTTTGGGGGCTATTCAGAGTACTTCATTTAGAAAAGCATTAGGTATAAGTTTTTCACTTAACTCGGTCAGCCTCAAAGAAATGCAGTGATGAAAATACAGTGACTTTTCTTCCCCTTCATTATATAGTGAAGTTACCTTTTCACACACACAATGACCAAGAAATTGCTCAGTAAATTCACAAAGAGATCTAAGTACATAGTCTTGGCTCACACAGAGTAAAAGTAGGTAGGATACATATATGATGAGAGAAAAACATATATTTTGGTGAATATATACTTAGAGAAATATTACTTTCTAAACTGAATTTTAATTAATGCTCTATTTAATCTGGAACTGACTTTAAATCATTCTAGAAATGTCTGGTGACTCAGGATGCTAGAAATGGGAAAGGATGGTATTTCACAGAAAAAATGGGACCCCTATTTATTCTCAAAATGCTTGCTTTGTCTTTCCCACTTACCCCTGAAATTTTGGTTATTGACTGTATCTGGGGGGCTGGTGTTTAAGAAATGGAGAATAATGTGTGAGACTAGGGTTCAGTTCTTGAAACAGAACTTTCTTTTAAGTGCCACACTTGTCCACAGAATACACACTTGTCTTGACAGAGGTAGTGGGACCTGAGGTGGGCGGGGCTGCATCCACTCTCAGGCTTCTATGATGCGCTGTGGCCATGGTAACGTGGTGATGCCCACCTTGGGTTCTGTTTCATCGGCCACACTGTGAGCTGAGTGGTTCACTCTGGTGAGAGGTGAGAAACTCTCAGCTTCATACCTAGAGACTTCTGAGATGGGAAACCTCAATTGTTGTACAGGTATGTTCGCAAAGATGTTCTCAGAATACTGTTGCTACTAATGGACTAGTTAGCTTTTTCTCAAAGTACTTTTCTCATCTTTTAAAAATTTCCTTTCTCTAATTTGTCTTACCGAGTTCACTGGAAACCTCCATTGTTGTTGTGAAGGTATGTTCATAAAGATCTTCTCAGGATGCTGTTGCTACTAATGGACTTGTTAGCTTTTTCTCAAAATATTTTTCTCATCTTTTAAAAATTTCCTTTCTCTAACTTGTCATACACAGTTACAAATATGCTGTATAGTTTTGTTTATTCCTCAATTTCTATTTTTGGTTATTCTATCAAGTTGGTTGCCTTATCTTTTCTCCATTTAGAAAGACATACCATTTCCTCTTATACTCTGCACCTCTCACTTCCCAGCTCTGGGGAAAATATGGCAGTTTTTTTTGCCTCATCAATTAAAATTAACTTCAGAAATTTAGAAGGGTTGAGATGAGCCCGGAGGCACTTCCCACAAGGAAGGGAATCTATCACCATCACAAACCTTCCCTGCGCTCCTGACACTGAGTGTGTGTTGAGGTCCGCACACTGTCGGTCCTGTTACTCCAGTTCATATATAGTTGACCCCTGGACAACGCAGGGCTGGGGGCACTGACCCCCACCCAGTGCAGCTGAAAATCGAATACCTTTTTTTTTTTAATTGAAGTATGGATGATATACAATCTGATATTAGTTTCAAATGTACAACACAGTGGTTCACATTATTCAATTCTGACCCCCACTAGTGCAGTTACTGTCTGGCAACATAGAGAGACATGAGAGAATCATTGGCTATATTCTCCATACTGTGTTACCAGTCCCACAAACAACTCGTATTATGACTGAGATCTTTCGTGCCCCTTTATCCCCTTCCTGCTCACCACCCACTAATCCCAACCCCTCTCCCAAGGTAACCACCAGTCACTGCTCAGTGTCTATGAGTCTACTGCTATTTTGTTCACTTTGCTTTGTCTTTAGATTCCACAAATAAGTGAAATCATATGGTACTTGTCTTTCTCTGCCTAGATTATTTGACTGAACATAATACCCTCTAGGCCCATTCATGTTGTCACAAATGGCAGGCTTTCATTCTTTCTATGGCTGAGTAATATTCCATTGTGTATATGTACCACCTCTTCTTTATCCGTATATTTATTGATGGACACTTTGGTTGCTTCCATATCTTGGCTATTGTAAATAATGCAGCAGTAAACACAGGGATGCATTTACCTTTACAAATCAGGGATTTTATTATCCTCAGGTAAATTTCTAGAAGTGGAATTACTGGGTTGTGTATTTCTATTTCAATTGTTTGAGGAACCTCCACCCTGCTTTCCATAGGGGCTGCACCGATTTATATTCCCACCGAGAGTGTAGGAGGGTTCGCATTTCTCCACATCCTTGCCAGCACTCGTTATTTCTTGTCCTTTGGATAATGTCCATTCTGAACGGTGTGAGGTGGTACCAACTTGTGGTTGTGATTTGCATTTCCTTGATGATGTGAAGCATCTTTTCATGTGCCTGTTGGCCATCTGTACTTCTTCTCTGGGGAAATGTCTGTTCAGCTCCCCTGCCCACTTTTTAATCAGTTGTTTTTTCTTTTTGGTGTGGAGTTCTATGAGTTCTTTATATATTTTGGATGTTAAACCCTTATCAGATAAATCATTTATGAATATATCCTCCCATAATGAAGGCTCCCTTTTTGTTCTGTTGGTGTCCTTTGCTGTACAGAAACTTTTCAGTTTGATGTTGTCCCACCTATTCATTTTTGCTTTTTTCTCTTGCATGACGTGTGTCCAGAAGAAATTTGCTTATAGTTTTGTTCAAGAGATTTTTGCCTAGGTTGTCTTCTAAGAGATTTATGGTCTCATTGTCTTACTTTTAAATATTTTATCCATTTCAAGTTTACTTTTGTGTATGGGATTAGACAGTAATCCAGTTTCATTCTCTTTCATGTAGCTGCCCAGTTTTTCCAACACCAGTTATTGAAGAGACTGACTTGTCACTGTATATTCATGGCTCCTTTGTCATATTGAACTGCAGATGCGTGGGTTTATATCTCGGCGATAACTGACTTCCCCCAAATTTAACTACTAATAGCCCATGGTTGATCTGAAGTCTTATTGATAACAGTCAATTAGCATATATTTTGTATGCTAAATGTATTACATATTGTATTCTTTCAATAAAGTAAGCTAGAGAAAATATTAAGAAAACATTAAGAGAAAATCCATTTCCTGTACTATTGTGTATTTGTTGAAAAACAATCCACTTATAAGTTGACCCCCACAGTTCACACCCATGTTGTTTAAGTGTCACCTGGAAATAGTTTTCCAGAAGAGATCATTAGAATGTGTCTATTTGTGGAGTATAACAAGAAAGCAAAGTGTAGGAATAAAACAGCAGCGGACTCACAGACTCCAAGAAGGGTGTAGTGGTTACCAAAGGGGGGTGAGGGAAGAGGGGGTCAGGGGAGAGGGAGGGGTCAGGGAGGAGAAGTGGATTGAGGGGCACTATGACTAGCACACATGTCATAATGTCACAAGTGTCAAGGGGAAGACAGTATAGCCCAGAGAAGACAGGTAGTGACTCTGTGGCATCTCACTATGCTGATGGACAGTGCCTGCAGTGGGGTGTGAGGGGGGCTTGATAATATGGGTGAATGTAGTAAGCACAATGTTTTTCATGTGAAACCTTCATAAGAATGTATTTCAATGATACCTTAATAATAAAAAAGGAATGTGAGTGTCTAGGTTTCAATTTACTTTTATGTTGTAGGTATTATCCAAAATTACATTTTACAGAGAAATCAATTATATGCTACCACCCAACTCATTCAGCACCCCATATGTAAGCATGGTGAAATAGAGTGATTATTTTCCCCAAAGAATAGCCATTCTTTCAACATACAATGAAAGAGACAATTGGTTAATGAATTGATTTAGTGCCTGGTAGATAACCAAGTACATAGATTGTTAGTAACACACAAAGAAAAATAGGTAACGTATGTAGCTGAGAGCAATGAAATTTTAGGTAACTAGACAATTGCATACATTTGCAGGGAGAATTATAGCTTCAAAAAAGAATGAGTATCTATTAAAGTGGTTTGAGTGTAATGTGTTCCTCAGTTCCTTGACCTTTCGT